TGGAACGCGTTAACGAAACTTTCGAGACGATCACTTCGAAGGACAACCAGAAGGTGACCAAAGTTGGGAGAGAATTTATCAAAAGTATACAAAGTTTATTTTTCGTATATTATTGTTAATATTTACACAATCGCAAATTATTTTATTAATATAATTTTTCGTAATTCTTTTTTAAAAGAACATTACGTAAATAGAAAAGATTTTATAGCAGAAATTAACAACATGTAATAAAATTAATGTTTAATGTAGTTTCGTAATAAAAATGATCAAGAGGAGTCAAATAGAGACTATAAAAATTACAGTTTTCGATATACTTGGTGCTTTACGCGGTTAACTGTGAACAACGTTACGAGAAGTGTGTGTGTGTCACGTGAACAAAAACGGCAATGCGCGTTAAGATTCGGCCGACTTTGCGTCGTTTAAACGGTACCGTTTTAATTTACACCGGAAGTGACACGCCGGCGAGACACGGCTAAGCACCGAGGACGATTCGGGACAAGCAAAAAGCAGAATGGAACTTCGCGAATTCTAGCGGCGAAATCGCTGAAAGTCAAATGTACCGTTTGTGGGAACGCACCAGACACCTTGCGCGTTCGTTAAATTCTGTAATGAGCGGCACGTTACGCTAATCTGACCTAATCGCGGAGTGAAAACCGCTGCAATTACCCGTTTCCTGCGATATGCGGAGAAAATTGCACAGAACCTTCTATCTCCGAGGAAACTGAACATTTCAATTATCAACACATTCTTAATTTTCTCTCGCGTATTATCTTCGTATTATTTATCTAACAACCATTCTCTTGAGTAGCAAGTCTAGTAACGACTCTTCTATATCGTTGATACGCTAATTATACGTGATTCTCAAGTAACCCCAAGAGTCCCGAGAGCGACGAGATAATTTCTCGAGATAATTGCGACCTTGACCAATACGAGATGACGGAATGGCCTCTCGCACGTTACCCGCACGTGTTGTCGTCGCGACGACCGAACCTTCGCGCGCTCACGTGCTTTGGGAACACGTATGTGATGCACGGATTATCTTTTTTTTTTTTCCGTATGTGTGCGAGAGCACGTTGTTAATTTTCATAAAATAAGAAATACCCGCGTGTGTGAGTCGTTGAATCCCGCTATACGCGCGGAGCAAAACGGAAGCGAGATGTAGACGCAGACAAAGTCCTTACGTTATCCGCACGCGTCGCCTGGCTTCGGGCTCGAGCTCGACATACATAAATGCATGAGAAATGCGCGCGCGCGTGTCGCAGACCAACGTTTCGCCCCGCGTGTTGCTGCTGATTTTAATAAATCCGTTCTCACATACCTTATTTATTCCCTTCTCTCTATACAGTCTCTCGGTCTTGGTTCTCTGCTCTCTTCCGACCTCAACTATTAGAAAAGAGTAAATGGTAATCTGTGACTCTCTGTGACTTAGTTTTCGCTTTTTGCTCCGCGTGTACTTTCGTGGGAAGAGGCATTCTCAATATTCCTCAAGGTACTAACTATACGCGCGTTCTCCCTCGGCGTTCTATGCTAGTAAAAAAAAACAAAGCAAAGAATCGCGCCTGATCTAAGGCTCCCTAATACGCATGTATACTCGCCGTTACTACCTACACGCGTCGCCACGTCGATCGCGAAGTAATCTATCCGAGTCGAAATACCGTCGACGAAATCGAGAGGAGAGAAGTTTCTCACGTTACTCTCTCGGCGCGCGCGCGTCCACCCGCCTCCGCACTTATACGCGTGCGTGTGCCGTTTATACGCGACCTACACGAGATGTGCGCGTACATATAAACACACACGTACACTCACCCTTTTCGTATGCACATGTATATCGCGCGCGTATTCTCAAGCAGCGCGCGCTTTTTCCGCGGTTGCGCAACGCGGCGCATCTCTCGCGAGCTCTTCCTGAATACATCTGACGTAACTCTTATGTATCCGCGGCTCGCTCGGCTCCGGCGCGCATCGCACGTACGTAATGCACCGTCGAGGAGGATCCACCACCGAGAGGATAACTGTGCACGCCCCGTGGACACGACACGGACCGCGCGCTCTTTCTCTCTCTCTCTCTCTCTATATATATATCTATATCTCTCTCTTCTTGTCCTTCTTCCACCTTCTCGCTTCCTCTTTCTTTCTTTCCACACCGTCGGATGCTGAACTCGAAACGATTATCAACGGCCGCGATCTCGATAACACCGTCGCTCGGAGCTCTCCGACTCGCGCGGAGTAATTTGGAACGCGCCGAGATGATCCCCGGGTATTCTTCCTGGATGTACTGGGAGCATTTTTGCGCGGCGCGGCCGCCTGGACGTGTGGTTATTAACCCCTCGGGGGGATGTGCTTTCGCTCGCGCCGCGGCAATGCTACTTGTCGCGAGATTTATTTATTCTTCCGCGATGGGAGAAACGGTTACGTTTCTCGTGAGATTACGATCGGGAATTAACGCGAACGGTCTCTCGCGCGCGTGTACGTATATAGGCGAGAATAAAACCGCAATTTACTTCGGATCGCGTTCTCATTTACGACACCACTCCGTGCTCCTTGACGTCGTGCATTCGTGAGGCACGGTCGTTGCTTTTTTTTTTTCGTACAATTTTTCGCGCAAAGTAATTAAGCAAGACAGCGCGCGAAGAGACAGAGTCATTCGTATAAATTTATTCTTCATCCGTCACTTGCTCATCCACCGTTATTATTACAGTTTTTTTTTGTTTTTAATCTCGAAGCACGGACTGCGCGCCGGAAGCATTCTGCTCGCGCGAATCGCGTATTGCGCAGACGTACATATATACCTACACAATGTAATATCTCTCTTTCTCTGTGAACGTAAGAATTGTGTATCGCAAAACGTTGAGAGCATGTTCGACGTTGATTTGATATTCGTAGATTAGCGGGCGCACGGTGGTGTGTTGTACTATATGTGGCCTACGCAGCGCTCGGAAAAATGCGCGCGTTTTTCCCCCTTGTTGCGCGCAATAAATCGTTTGGCCGCGTACCGGAACGTTAGATCTAATATTGATGATTAATCGCCGCTTGTGGGGACCGGCGGAAGGGAATGTTCCATCAAAATAGAGGAGCGCCTCGGCATCTAGTTAACGTTATCGTCGCAATCGTAACGCTCGACGCCGTATATACGTTGTAACGTTGATCGTTGTGCTCCGCTGCACTTTTTCCCTTCCTCGGTTAGGTAGTCACGAGAAGGCCAGTTGCGCATTCAGCAAGCATGGAGCCCCAAACGCGGCGGACCGACAAGTAAAACTAATACAATTGCACGAAATTGTCGCAAGTGCGGTGTGGCAATTGAATGAACGTATCAATTTGTTGTGATATGAAGAATACATTGTGTTTCTTGAAATAAATTAAATATACATCATAGATATCGTATATATACGAATAGTAAAAAAATATAATTATATTAAAAAAATACAGAAGGAGATACATTTATATTTCTTATGCGGAATGTTTTTTTTTTTTTTTTTTTCTATAAATGAAGATGTTCCTAAAGAGTCGTGCGCGCGAACCTATCGAGAAATCCGTCACTGAGAAAGGTACTTTGCTTGATGGGAGCAGAGTGCCTATTGCAAGATGCTCATTCCGAATAATCTGCCGGGCATTGTCGGATCTGCGAGATCGATCATAACGAGCGCTTCCTTATTGCGGAGGGCTGTCCGTCCGCCGACACGTAAGTCGGACTTTGCATACCTGGCCGATAGAGGAGATCGTTTCTGTCGGAAGGGCGTGGGCATTCCGCCGTACTCTCTGCGCGCGGCACTCGAAGACGGCCTTTCGTTATTTCTTTTTTTTTTTTTTTTTTTTTTTTTGTACCTTTATTCCTGACAGGAAATGAAAACACAGTTAGCCGTTGACGAAGAGCTCGCGCGCGCATCAAAGTGGCCGAAGAATTCACAACTGCAGAAAGTGGCGAAAGTCGAAACCGCTATTGCGAAACACACTTGAGAAGAGATTATTAAAAATTTTTTTTCTGAAAAATAAAAACAACTGAATTCTCTTCGCAAGAGAATGGCCTGCCGTAATAACTGATTCCATTAGCTTCTCGATGAAGGCTCGAACTGTAGAAAGTTATCGAAATTGCAAAACGTGATGGAAACTAAAAAAAGTTTCTGTGGCTTTGCCGTTTCAATGTGTTTAAACTACGTAGACACGTTATTGTATGCGAATCGTCTTCAAACGTTTGGTATTTATATAAAATATATGCGATATTATCTTTCTCTCAATTAGTTGTGTTTTTAGAGTATTATACATGTTTCGTTTCTTCTCCATTCGAGATACATAATGAGGCGAGTCGATATTTACGGAACACCTTATGTGTTCGTTGTGCTGCACGATACCTGCCCGCGGTGCCGAGAATTGCGTAATCCATCATAAGCGCGGTGCGTTATGCAACTACGTTGGCAGATCGGAGCGCATGTATCTGAAGTGCGCGCGGTGTAAATGCAAATGCGTGTTAATCGCCGGGATCTCGATATCAGGATCAAGGACCGCTCATGCGATCCGTGAATTCCTGCCAACTTTGAATTGTCATGAATTTCTGCGCGTACGTACGACATGCGATAATGTCGATTATATTACACAATGTTAATTAAACCGACATATGTCAGATATTAATGTTTCTGCTTATTAAATTTTATTCCTTATCGATTCTTTATCTTTAAAGTAAAGTATTATATTCTTGTATTATATAAATAACAATTTACGTGAGAAAACAACTTCACTACAAATGTTAAAAGATTTAACGATAAAAAGTATGAGTTTGCGTTCTAATCGAAAAAAAAATCTAATCTAATCGAAAATCTAATCTAATCAAAAAAATTATTCAAGATTAATATTTTATTAGCTTCTTCCGCATCTCTGATAAATAATACAGATTATGGGCCAAGTGTGATTAAAATATTATCCTTCTTGATAAAAAGTGACATATTTTGCGAAAATAAAATATATTTTTTTGATAAGTATAATCCACTTCCTTTTAGTGATAACAATGAAGAGTACATATAACGGCTGACTTACCTAAACAGAATTTAGTTTCACATTTATACCGATTGCAGTTATTTTTTTTCATAAGGTGTAAATTGAGCAAATAAAATAGACGATGAAAGGTAAGTGAATAAACAAGTTTGTCGATTCCTGTCGAATTAAATTACAATATAATGATTGTTCGGTACAGGATTATACAGCGTGATTGCCATTGTCTTCTTGGCATATTGGACTGCAACCACTGCAACTTCTACAGAGAAGAAACGCGACAAATTTCCTAGAAAATGTAAATGGAACACGAACGAAACGATTCATCTCGCGCATGAAACCGATTGCGGATCGTTCTATAAGTGCTATCCTCCTGACGGAATGCGCCGGATCCCGTGTCCCTTAGACCAGCTGGGCCGACCGCTGCACTTCAACATGTTCTTGCAAGTCTGCGATTGGCAACCCGACGCGGGTTGCCTTTATTGTCCCTCTAATGGCTATCCGCTTAAGTTGCCTCGTGGGGACAGTTGCAGAAAGTACTACAAGTGCGTGAATGGTAAAAAAAAGCCTTACAAGTGTCGTCCCGGCAAGTGTTTCAGTCGCACGTGTCAAGCTTGCGTTAAAAACAGACGGGGTGGAAAATGCAAGAAATAAGGGACATTATGAGAAAACAAACCGTTTCCCAACTATTTTCAATGGCGTAAACGACGGAAAAAATACGATTGTGCTAATTAAGAATTACATATAAATAATCGAGATGTTGAATGTATAATAATAAAATGCCATATGTGTGATTAAATCATACAACATTTGCGTAATTACAAGTGCTCGTACGTACGGTACACTCGCAAAGATACCCAAGAAAGTATACGACGCCATTGGCATTTGCCAGGTTCTGCTGACATTCGCACCTGACATTATCCGTGGTGATCGTTGCCGCGATTTTGCACGAGTCGCAGACGAGTCGGTTTCGCGTCAACGCATTCACGTCCGTAACGCTCCTTTTAGCCGTGAGTCATCCCCGTGTTCCAGGATTCGATAGCGAGCGCGGTTGAACGCTATAATATAGCGGCCGACGATGAGAACAGGACCGGTTTAAAAGGCGCGCGAATGGCGAAATAATAGATTTAAACGAGATCGAGATTTTTTTTTTTAAAATGTTGGAAAATAAAAATTATTACGCGTTATTATTTAAATTGTTTCTTGAATTCCGAAGTGTGTTTGCAACTTTACTTGTTCGTTTGTTTGTAAACCCGATAATCTAGTTTTTATTCTCTAATCGCGTGCCGCGAGAAAGAGGAGGGAGAGAGAGACCGGTCTGTAGGAAACTCCGGTCATTGACGAAGTGCTCATAAATATGTCGAAGCGCACAAGCGCAATGGTAGTCAACGTGTCTACCGCGCAATAATCGCTGTAAGCTGCCAGTACGTAGTCGTCGTCATCGTCGTTGTCGACGACGACAACGACGATGACGAGAAATGGCGGCAGCACGCGCTGCTTCACGAACCAGGCTACTAAACCGGAAATGCGTCGTTGAGGGATACTGTACAAGCTGCCAGAGACCGTATCACACACGCAATAAGCGCTTTAAGGCATATTTACACCGTTCGCTCGCGACAGAATAACAAATTAACACGAAATAAGGCACGATTTTACTCGATTTATTTATTTGTCATAGATGATACTTTTCACGTAAAAAAAACAAAAAATAAAAAAAAAAAATAAGTTTCTCTTATATTCTTCTTCAAAAAATTAATAGATTTATTTAAAATAAAATTAATAGATTTATTTAAAATAAAATTCTTAAAAAACACACACTATATGAACTGTAGAACAAATTTACACCGAATCAGAGAGTCCACAGATTTGTAAGATTTATTTTAAATATTAGCTGTGACACCATTTGTGTTAACTTAATAGTGCTAAAGTACATATCGAGACTAATTTATGCGTATTTATTTCCTAGTAAATATCACCTTCGATGAATCACTCCAGTAAGACAAGAAAGAAGTGTGTTGAGATTACACATTTGCACAAGAATATTTGCATTATAATAATTTAAATGTAAGCCATGCGCGATAACATAATTAATTATACATACATATATAAAAAGTCTTAATTAATTATATATAAAACCATTGAGAATTTTACGTATTTTCTTTAGATAATAATGTGGAAATGACATTTTCCACACCTCATATTAATGTCGTACGCGTTACGGTCGTTTAGAATGATTCATTCACGACGATCGTCGAGAGTCAACAGTGTAAATTCGCCTTTACACGCATGACCGCGGCGCAGCTTACAACTGGCCGACGAAGACCGTTGGTTATGATATACAACGGCGCCTCGCACCTACCTAATGCACGATGTATACCGCACCCACGTGCCACGGGGATACACGAGAGGAATCGACAGCGTCACTTCATTACGTCTCGCATCGCGCGAGACGCTTATCTACCGCCGGCTGCAGGAAGTGTCCGCTCGCGGATTCTAGATGGGAAAGTCAGACGCGCGCGATAATTGGTCATTCGCTCGGGGATGGCAGGAGTAATGAAGTTTCTCTCGTTTCTTCGTTCAAGCCATATAGCCGGGCAATTTGCGCGGTCTACATTCTGACTATTATGACGAGGTCGGATCTGAGCTCGAAACACGCGGATAGCTCGAGACGTTCGAGCGCTGTTCGGCCCAACCCACTATCTCTCTGTAATATTTCATATTTAAACGAGGAAAATCGCCTTTGACAGGAATAATTGTGTCTAGTATAATGATATCGCTCCGGGCCACTGAAAAATTAGAAATCGTGGGCCGTGCATCCGCGTACGGGGCGTGCTCGGTCATTTATTTCAGGAGGAACCGGAATACCTATCCGTTCTCCGTAATGTCTTTATAATTCTGCGTCCGATTGCTTTCTCCTATTTGTTATATTTGCACAATTGGTGAAAAACACAGTTGACCGAACGTCGATTAACGCGAGTTCTCGTTGCACAAATTCGCGTTTTAATTTAATTAAATTTTTTTTTTTTTTTTGACAACATCGACGCGATAACTATATAAAGCGTGGTTTACGGATACGCTATTCTTCGCCGTGCGCGTAGAGCTCGCGTATCAGCGACAATTATTATTTCAAGAAGATATACTTCTCTTACGCGACCGACCAGCAAAGTGGACCGATTAGCGAGATACGAAGGGAGAAATCGACGAGTACCTTCTCGATATATACCGTTGCGTTACTCGATAATTGCAGATCGACCGAAGTGTAAACTGCGATTTTAAAGACACGCCCGGCGTCGTCCGCTCAGGGGCGTCGACATTATCTCGAATCTCGGGAACGAATTTACTGTAGGCGAACCGTCGCCGCCGGAAATGACGCGATTTCCTCGAGAAATCTTTTTTCGCAGATGTACGTGACGATAAACAAGAGACATAGAGAGAGAGAGAAAGAGAGAGAGAGAACCGCTCCGATTTTATCTCCTCATCGATCGATATATCTTAATGACGAAACATCAATTTGTTTTCATTTTTCTCATCCTCGTCAATGTTTTCAAAAAGAAACTAAAAAATGCTACCTCCGTGCTTTTTATGCGCTGTACCTACGCGATTATTTTACGGTTTTCACACAAGCGATATCAATTAATGATCTTCGTCGGATCGAGAAACACTCGAGAAAGGTCGCTCAGTTTCCCTTCGATTACATCGTCGATAACATCTTCCCGGGGGTGCATACTTTGAATAGCGCGCGGTTCGATACTTAAATTGCGTTGCGGAATCGATTAGCTGCCACGCAGGCCGCGTGCACGATCGGAGCCGTGGAATCCCATCGGGAGCCGGTCGGCGCACGGCCATTCGGTCGCGATTACAACGAGTTTATTGCGAGCGGATGTCGATTATTTACAACACGCTGGCGCGCGCGTTCGCGTGTAGGAAGTTGCACGGATACTAGTCCCGCGAGGGATCGGGGCGCACCGCGCTTTCGATCATCGACATCGTGCCGGTATGAACGATCGAAGGTAGAGACGGTGCACGACGTGGAGTAGATCAGGGGGCCGGTAACAGGAGTCCCCTAGAGCTCCGCTCAATCTCTTTCTTTCTTTCTCTTTCTTTAAAAAGAGAGAAGGACGGAAGAAGGGAGGGAGGGAAGGATAACTGAGTAAGGGCACGATACTATTAAATAAATGACTTTCTCATTTTTGTCATTAACGCTAATCGATTTTGCCCACGGAGACGGAATTGAAAGTAATCGACGGGATTATACTTAGTAACGAGTCTCGAAGGGGTTTATGTACGCGACGCACACGAGCGCTAATAAAGTTATTTGCTTTTTCCATCGACGTGGTTATATCGTGGTTGCGCTCGAATAATAAGATTCTGTATCAAACCCAATTCTATATTTTTGAATTATATTTTGTCTGACTCGTCAGAAAAAAATTCATCTTGCATTTGCAAAATTATGAGAACGAGAACAAGAAACGCAAGAGGTAGCAAAATTATGAGAACAAGAACAAGAAACACAAGAGGTAGCAATCAGGACGATGAACAACAATTATTGTTGTTTTCGCCATTGGACGAGATTCGCGTAACCTGCGCGTAATTGTACAAGTACGGGGAGAGGAGAATAAAATTCAAGGGTGAACCCTCATACCAACCAATTACACTACAATCCGTAGTTGTTGTATACCGGCTAATTACGTATAACGAGAACACCATGCGTTATCACGCGAGTCAAATTCATTACTAGCACGAAAGCGCTCTAGCGTGTTGTGAGCACATTCGATAAAACGGCGAAGACAGCACTGCGTAATAAAAAAAAGTTTTTGCGATATTTATAGTCGATGTTGCGCATCTCTTTTTCTAAATACTAGCACAACACAGGTGCGCGCTACGCGCACGCTATTATTGTTTTTGTTTTAACGTGCAGTGTCAGTGAACACACAACCTGTAACCGCGATGACAGCTATAATATTTATAATATTACACCTTACATTGTATTATATATATTATATATATTATATATATACTACGGTAAGATCACTGACCTTGGTCACGTGACTACGGTACATATATATATATAGAACATTATATAATATCAAACAATTAAGACTTAAGGCTCGTTGAAAATGAATATATAATATTCTCTTTTTCATTCTTTATCCTGTCACGTTACCTTACTTTAGTCACGTTTTTGAAAACACGCCCAACGAAGTCGCGCTCGAACGGCGCGAGTCAGTACCTCTTGATTCGCACGACATGAATCGAGAAACACATCCGAGATAAAAGCGGCAATCAAGATCAATAGAATCGATTGTGATTATTTACACACGCTTTTTCTGGTAGGAACTAGCACAGGCGCGTGCTACGCGCACGCTGTTATTGTTTTTATTTTAACGTGTTGTGTCAGTAAACACAATCTGTCATCGCGATAAAATATAATGACAGCTAATATATACGTCTTACAAACCATATAATACACATGAAGTACAAATGAGAGATATCAGAAATGAAACACATGAAAATCAAACTCAAAAACTAAAAAAAGGGAAGAGTGGAAAAACAACACGTAACAAGGAGAAGTAGAGAAACACCATATGACTAAAGTCACGTGACAAGAAAAAGAGTAAAAACGAGAATATTATATATATCATATATAATATTCTATATCTATATATAATACACACACACACACACACACACACACATATATATATATATACCGTAATCACGTGACCAAAGTCAGCGACTCTGCCCAGGTCGCGCGGCCGAGGTCAGTGACCTCGCCAAGGCCGCGCGGCCGAGGTCAGTGACTC